ATCCGGAAAATGTAGGTCAGATTCAGCATCCGAAGCAAGTATGGTAGTATGCATCCTAAGATGTATCATCCATGCAAGTTTAGTCAGTACAGGGCTCATAATAAATTGGAAATGAAACCTGTTCACTCATCTGGAAAAAGTAGGTCAGATTCAGCATCTGAAGCAAGCCTGGTAGCATGCATCCTGAGATGTACCGTCTATGCAAGTTTGGTCATTACAGAGCACAAAGTATCTTGGAAATGAAACCTGCACCAAAAACTTTAACCTATTCACTCAAAAATGTTAACCTTCAGCTCCAAAAACATTTACCTGGTCATTGCTTTTGCTGAAATGTATCATCCATGCAAGTTTGGTCAACATAGAGTTTCTAGTTACTTGGAAATGAACACACCAAAAACTGCCATGCATGTCTAATTAATATAGGACATACAAGTACTTAAAAAGAAAACTGCTCCAAAAAACTTAACCTTAACCTGGGACGCCAACGGTATCACATACGAGGGCTGTTCAATAGATAATGTCCTGAACTGTATGACATACAATACAGATATCATATGACATTAAACTTGACTTTCTCTCATTATTGAATCTTTAATGAATTTATAACAGTTTATGTGACCACTTTTCATCACATAGTTTCATCGTGAGAAGCTGGGAAACAAGGGCTATTAGAGACACTGCAATTAAAATGAATAGTCAAGAATCAGTAAATTAGAGAAAAATTAAACGTTCCATTAAAGCTGCTGTAAAACTTGTTAAAAATCCCAAAGAAATATTCACTGAAACATATGATATTTACAGCAACCAATTCCTGCTTTATAGACAAATGAGCAGGTGGATTTCAATGCTAAAATTATATAATGGGCATCAAAAATGAGTACCGTCCTTGTCAACAAAAATTATAACAACTTATGTACTGTTTGCCAAATTTCAACAAATAATATTTGATGATGTATGATTGACTTTAGGACACATGGCAAATTTGATAGACATCATATCGGGAGTAGTTTACACTATCTTTAAGAAACGTTTGACGTTAAAAAAAGATTGGTACTCAAAGGTCACCCTATATTTTGAAAAAGGAGTGAAAACGACAGCGTGTACGAAAGTCTTAACAATTATTTTAAAATATCAGTATTAATTGTAGTTTGATATCCACGTTTGTTTAATATTCAGATAGATATTGGAACATAAATCTATTGCTTAAAACCCTCAGAACAAAATTTACCATAAGATGTACTTGATAAAAACAGCGAAGGTCTAACAAGAGCAAAGGTATGCAAGAGCACAAAGACAGATATATATATATGCAATTTTCTTAAATATTAGTGGTATTATTGTTCAAATTCGTATTTGGGGAGACAGTTTAATTTCTGGAGGAGTCTAGAAAGCAATTTTTTGCAAAAAAATCGAAAGGTTTATTAGAGGAAGGACCCAGAATCAGGAATCCACTACATTAAATTTCTTCATGACAGCGTCCAAACCCGCATGACCTATAGAGTAATGGGTTTTCAGGATAAACAGAAAGTCAATGTTTTTTTTTCACATTTACAATATTCGCCAGATCTTTGACCTTTTGACTTGTTTCTATTTCCAAACTTGAAAAAAAAAACACCTTTTAGAAGGAAGAAATAAGTCCAGGAAATCATTGGATCTGCTATTTTCCAGTATACTAAGGGTCATACCCAAAGATGAGTTCTAAAAACAATCAGAAATTGGATAAAAAATGTTATGGGCACGTGTTTTAATCAAAAGAGATTAATAAGTAAAATCATGAAGACTAAATCATTAAAAAGCGTCGTTTGCTTCTTTCCTAGCACCGAGGACATTCTTTAATTATTGAACAGCCCTCGTAAGCTCCCCCCAACTTCGTTGTGGTGAGCTAAAAAGCAGTTTCAGCATAGAAATCAGGTTACAGCATATGTAGACTACATTTTGCTGCCAAACACTGAAACCGCAAGAGGAATGAAAAGTCTATGATTCAATGTAATCAGCTTTTTGCAAATGATTAGAAAAAAATCAGCAATTCAGCAAGATTTACTTGGGAGGGAAAGGGATAAGTCAGTTAATGAAGGTTCAACATTCTTTGAATATTTTGATATGCATTGTTGCAACCACTTATATTGAAATAACGACCACTATTGAAATAATTATGTCAATAGTGGTTGAGAGTGCATTGCAATAACAAACATAGGTTGCAACCACTATTGAAATACGACCACTATTGAAATAATTATTTCAATAGTGGTTGCAACAATGCATCATGTCCAAGTCAAGCTTGTTGTCTTAAACAAATTTGAATCTACTTTTTGGGTCCTTCCTCATATGCAGGTACATTCAACTTCATTATCTCAAAAACTGATACTGTAGAAGTACTTTTTTCCGCATGGTATTAATTTAAGCTATGTATGCGGTAACAATTTTTCCGCGGAAATTTGTCCAAGAGTACTTAATATAAATGAAATGCTTATAGCATGTATAGTAACAGTCTAAGAAATCCGCCTAATATTCTACCCGCGGATTAAACAGAAATTGAGATTCCGCGGAATTATGACCCCGTGAAAAAGTACGTCTACAGTATCTCGATTGCTAGGGATATGACGAAGTGAGTTGGCAGTCCAACCCACTTAGCATTTATCCTTTTTAGCTCTTCTGAGCCAAAGGCTCAAAGAGCTAATGCTATGGCCATTTGTGCGGTGTGCGTTAATTTTTTAGAATATGGGCCATAACTCAAGAACCCTTTGGCCAATCATTGTCAAATTTGTCACCGGGTATCCTTGGCCCAAGGGCTATCATTTGTACTAGAACTAGGGGTGGGACCCTAAAACAAGGGGAGATAATCAGAAAAATAAAATCAAAAGTACTGGTTGCTAAAAAATCTTCTTCTCCAGAACCACCAGGCAGATTTTCACTAAACTTACAAATAAGGGTCGGGATATGTTGAAGACTAAATATTTTTCAAGGCATGACCCTAGGGCAAAGGGCGTGGTCTCAAGGTCACATCAAAGTTGACCAAAATTTACACTGATTAAAAATGTTGATATTTTGCTTACTATAAAGACTAGGATCATCAAATCTTGTAAGTTGGTGCATCTCAGGATTTCACATCATGTTAACACAAAAGTAGGTCACGGTGACCTACTTATTAAATTTTACGGACTTTTGTTTTCAAATTGATTTGGAGGCATATTTTGGACACTTTAAGGCCTATGATCATAAAACTTTGTCAGTTGGTGCATCTTGGGTCCTCAAACAACATCAATTTAAAAGTGAGTCATCGTGACCTACTTTTTGAATTTATGGCTAATCTTTTCTTATACATTTAATCCCATTATTTCAGACAACAAAATGTTTAGAATCACCAAATCTTGTAAGTTGATGCATCTTGGGGCCTTAAAACATATTCATTAAAACGTAGGTCACTGTGACTTACTTTTTGAACTTTGCAGGCATTTGTTTTCATATAGTTTATTTTGAATACTATTAGACCTATGATCATCAAATTTTGTCAGTTGATGCATCTTTGGTTTTCAGAAAACGTCAACCAAAAAGTAAGTCAGATGATGCATCTTGGGTTTTCGGACATCATTGACTGAAAAGTAGGTCACGGTGACCTACTTTTGACATTTTATGGCTAGATTTAAATATCTCGGGTACTTATTGGCTTAGAATCATCAAACTTTGTCAGTTGATGCATCTTGGGTTTTTGGATATCATTGACTGAAAAGTAGGTCACAGTGACCTACTTTTGACATTTTATGGCTACATTTAAGTTTTGAATTTCTCAGGTACTGATTGGCTTAGAATCATCAAACTTTGTCAGTTGATGTATCTTGGGTTTTTAGAGATCATTGACTGAAAAGCAGGTCACGGTGACCTATTTTTGACATTTTATGGCTAGATTTATGTTTCTCAGGTACTTATTGGCTTAGAATCAGTTGATGCTTCTTGGATTTTCGGAGAACACTGACTGAAAAGTAGGTCACGGTGACCTACTTTTGACATTTTATGGCTATATTTAGGTATCTCAGTTACTTATTGGCTTAGAATCATCAAACTTAGTCATTTGATGCAATTTGGGTTTTCAAAGCATGTCGACTAAAAAGTAGGTCACGGTGTCCTACTTTTGAATATCTCAGGTACTGATTGGCTTAGAATCATCAAACTTTGTCAGTAGATGCATCTTGGGTTTTTGGAAAATGTCAACCAAAAAGTAGGTCACAGTGATTTACTTTTGACATTATGGATATATTTAGGTATCTCGGGTTCTTATTGGTTTAGAATCATCAAAACTTTGTCAATTGAAGCATCTTGGTTTTTCCGAGATTGATGATAAAAAAATAGGTCATGGTAACCTACTTGTGACATTTATGGCTATATCTAAGTATTCTAGGGTACTTTTGGCTTAGAATTGTCAAACTATGTCAGTTGATGCACCTTGGGTTTTCGGAGAACATTGACCAATAAGCAGGTCACTGTGACCCACTTTTGAATATCTCAAGTACTTATTGGCTTAGAATCATCAAATTTTTTAATTAATGCATCTTGTGTCCTCAGAAAATTTCAATCAAAAAGTAGGTCACCATGACCTACTTATAGTATATTTTATAGTTGCATTTAAATATTTTCAGTCCTAACTGGCTAAGAATCATCAAACTTTGTCTGTTGATGCATCTTGGGTCTTAGGATAGACTGTTTAATTTATCAGATCAATTCAAGGCCCTTGGGCCTCTTGTTATTCTTCTTTTATCTCAAATTATTTGATAATTTGAAGTTTCATTTTGGTTGCATTCAGTTCAAGATAATGTGATTTTACTGTATTATCACAGGAGTTCCTGAAAATTTCAGTAAATAAAAAAATACGTAATACCTATAATACATGTAATAACTCGTGTTATTATTATAGGTATTACGTATTTTTTTTTATTTCCTGAAATTTTCGGTAAAATTGATAGGTACACGAACTCCTGTGGTATTATTAAAAACACAAAAGTAAACTATTCCATAAATACTGATTTATCTCATTCTTAATTAAAAGTTAAAAATGACAAAACAATTACATTTACAGAATTACATATGACATATAAATATTTTCTATTATATATCATTTAAAGAAAAATTAAATGAAAAAAAAAAATTATGTCAAGAGACTCTGAATTTAGGTACATCATTCAATTTCTTTAAGGAGGCTTGGGGGTCAACAAATTAACCATCAGATATTACACGGTACTTAAATCTTTAGATATGATACATGTATCTTAAACTGTCAAATATCATTTGGCAACGAAAAATTTCAATCATTTTAGTTTAAAAATTTGATCATTTTTTTTATATCTTTAGATGGAGCTCTTCTTCTAAAGGAAATCAAAATGGTCTGAAAATGGCCACAACCCCCCAGCCTCCTTAACTTAAATTTCAGGAAGACAAGAACAACCTTAATTAACATGCGAGATTTCCCCTCAATATGTGCTTACTGCATTAAATGTACAACTGGTAAATTTCATCATAGACAGTTCACAGGAAAGATTACAAGACAACCTTTAAGTTCATTCAAAACATACAAATACATTGTAAATCATGTAATCTTCAATGAAAATAGGTCTGTACAATATATAACAATAAATGTAATATAAAAAAAATATTAAAATAACATATAGATATTCACTTAAACAATTAAATAACAAAATAAATCAGTTTACATTATCTACACAGTCAAATTTGCTGGTCAGTACAGTAGAAAAACATATTCAATATACATGCATAATATTTTCTTATACATGCATACAAATTTTAATGAGCTTTTTTTAGAAACCAGTTGATTAATTGTGAAAATAATCTTTAATAACAAAAAAAAAATAGTATTGCTTTTCTTCAAAAGCAAAAATTGAGTGACTTAAGTCTTGGAACATCGAAATGAAAGACCATTAGAAGTGCTACATACATAGTTTATGTAGCTGTACTAGTAGAAAGTACAGTTTACATAGGTGTACTAGTATTTATGTTGGTGTACTAGTACAGAGTACATTTTACTATTGGTGTACTAGTAGACAGTACAGTTAGCTGAGGAGTACTGGGTACATATGCTGTCACTTGTTTTCTCTGAGTAACCACTAACTTTGTCCAGACCTGACCCTGTAATAATAAAAGGAAAAATGTAACAAAATTAATTAATGTAATCAATGTAAACAAAATGTAACAATGTAACCAGAGATAAATTCAATGTAAAAAAATGTAACAAATGTAATCTATGTAACAATTGTAATCTATGTATACAAATGTAAACAATGTAACCAATGTATACAAAATGTAACAATGTAACCAGAGATTCAATGCAATGTAAAAAAAATGTAACAAATGTAATCTATGTAACAATTGTAATCTATGTATACAAATGTAAACAATGTAACCATTGTATACAAAATGTAACAATGTATGTAACCAGAGATTTAATGCAATGTAAAAAAAATGTAACAAATGTAATCTATGTAACAATTGTAATCTATGTATACAAATGTAAACAATGTAACCAATGTATACAAAATGTAACAATGTAATCTATGTAACAAACATAAACAATTTTCATTCGTATACTATAATGTATTTCACCAGTAGTTCTTCTTGTATACGGAGAGGATTATTTAGCTAAAAAACTGAAACAAATATGTCCAGTGCTTTTTCTCAAAACATAAGATTTCATATAATAATTTTCTCCCTCTTGGTTCAGGTTAGGAGAATTTGATTTTGCCACTCACCTGTGATTAAGTTGTGTAGATTACAGTAATTTGTGCCATAGTCCAACAGAGCATACCAAGTCTCTGATGTGGAAAAGCCCTGTAATATTAGACCATAATCAGAAATATAGAGAATTTTAAAAAAGGGGCACAACTCTCAAATATGATCTACATATCAGAGCAAATAAAAAAAAAACAATTATACTATTATAAACAGTCAAGTCATGCACTCATGAAAATAAACTTCCTTTTGGCTGGTACATATAATTCAAAATGATGTTGTGTACTAATTGAGTTGTAGTATCTGTTAATTCTGTCTATATACGCTGTACTCTAAAAAAGTGTCAATCAATAAATTTTGGTATTTTTCTTTTACATCTAAAAATCTCTAACTCTCAACTACATTGAAAATAAGAGGAGTCTAAATTTTTTTTAAAAACATTGCTTATAGTCATAAAAATTCTGCATTATTTCTAAGCTACTATTCCTTTAAAAAATATAAAAATTCTTAAAGTTTAAGGAAAGAATTTGCTTTTTTAAATTCTGAATTTGAGATTTGATTTTACTCACCTGAACATTGCATTTTGCTGTGGAACTTGCGGGCATAAAGGTGAAGGTCAAATCATCAACATAGTGTTTAACGGGAGTCTCATGCTTTGCCTTCAGTGTATTGCCTGATTCACTCGTAAACTGTTTCATTAAAAACAATACAGTATTTCGAAACTGATTGATTAATAGATTGATTGGTTATTGTTGTTTTATGTCAAGTCTGTAATATTTCAGCCATATTACAGCAGTGTTATCAACTTTGACATTGGAGTTTAAGCTTAACAAATAAACATTCAAAACACGAATTCTAATATTTATTATTTCTACCTTGTATAGACATTTCTCTCCTCCGTTTGCGCAGTTGTCTGCAGTTGTCCATTGACTTATCTGACCTTTGATCTTAGACTTCACATCATCACAGGAGGTTCCAAATGTCCTGAATACAAAATAACACAGCTAGCTTTATATATATACAGATACAGAAAATATACATAAAACTTTGATCAAGTATTTTCCTTGGTAAAGCAAGACCTGTTATCTTTCTTGTATAAAATTGAATTTTGGTATCTGTAAGCAAATATCTTGAAAACCATGGATACATCAAAGTGATTTGGAAGTCTGAAAAACCTTGCCTTGGGTATTGAAATTTTTACCCTGTGTCAAGGTAAAAAAAAAATCAAATCTAGGTAAACTCCAAGGTCAAGGATGAGGGGTAAAATTGTTTATACACTAGGCAATGTTTTTCACATAGTTTACACCATGTCCTGTGCAATTAAAATATTAAAAGAGTTGTGGCCCCCTTTCCCATGTCTTGATGGATTGGATGCCATTGTTTATAGCATTATATGGTATCAAATATGAATGCCCTATCATATGTCACTTAAACTTAATCACCAAAGTTATACAGTTTAAAAATTAGGTCGAACATGAGGGTCAAGATCAAAGGGTAAAAAATCGTATCATAAGCCAGGAAATATCTTGTTACAGATAAATGCATGTGTCCAATGTGAAAGCCCTTTCTCTTCTTATTCAAAAGTTAGAGGGATATATTTCAATTTAGAAAAGTTGGTCAAACTTCAAGGTCAAAGGTGACAGTCATAAATCACGGTAAATTTAGAAAGGTCTTATCACAGGTACTAAACAAGACTAATGTAATATGAAAATCCCATCTTTCCTCTTTCATGAGGCCTAGAAAAAAAATGTTTGTTTCCGCTTTCAGGCTGAAAAAATATAGGGTAGGTAGGTAGGCAATTTTTTTTTTTTGAAAAAATTTTTTTTGCTTCTTTAATCACAACGTATATAGAAGTAACATTAATGACAAAAGAAATGGTGTTTTCAAGCATTACTGTGACTTAACTTATAATAGAAAGGTGACCCAAACTTCTTTCTGTCTTGAAAAGCTTGCAAAGTTGGAGGCTATAATTCCCTGGTCGAAATCTTGCACACCATGGGACAAAAGCATTAAAAAAATATTTAGGGTCGGTACTATAAATTAGGGTCGGTCGGGAAAGCGGAAACAAACATATTTTTTTTCTAGGCCTGAGTTATGATCAATTTCAATTAATGTTAAAATTTTTGAAAAGTATGTCAAAAATCAAGGTCAAATCACTGGGTCAAAAATCATAGTCTATTTAAAGAGGTATTGTAACAAGTAGTGTACATGTTAATCCCTGTTGAGATTCTGCTAGGCTAGATATTTGGACTGACGCCGTCGCAGAATCCCTGGACAACCATTAAATATTCATGTCTGGAGATTAAGTCCCAACTTCGGTCGACTATAGCAAGAATTATTCACCTAGACCACACTGCCGTTCGCTTCATTTAAGTCATTTAGTTGTTTATTTGACTCTCTGTCACTTTTATTTCTACATATAGCTTACGTTTAGGCATGTAAATCCCAACATAAAAATATTCACTGAAATCTCCTTTCAAAATATGGCTCCCGTGACGACATTGTTTACCCCCTCCAATAAAAGAGTTCCTAAAGTCTGTTTTTACTCTATGTGATGTTCAATAGCCACAGTAGACTTGGTTCAGAATCACATAGAGTAAAAAAAAGACTATAGGAACTCTTTTATTGGAGGAGGTAAACAACTTCGTCACAGGAGCCATATTTTGAACGGAAATTTCAATGAATATTTTTATGTTGTGATATACATGCTAAGTGCTTAAACGGTAAGCTATGTAGAAATAATAGTGACAGAGAGTCAAATAAACAACTAAATGACTTAAATGAAGCGAACGGCAGTGTGGTGTAGGTGAATAATTCTTGCTAAAGTCGACCGAAGTTGGGACTTAATCTCCAGACATGAATTATTAATGGTTGTCCAGGGATTCTGCGACGGCGTCAGTCCAAATATCGAGCCTAGCAGAATCACAACAGGGATTAGTGTACATGTGAAATATGAAAGTTTTATCTCCCTTCTTATTCATAATTTATGATGAAGGTTTGTTAAAGCTTTTGTAAACAGACTGACAGACAAACAGATGAATGAAATTTAATCAATGTCCTCTCACTTTCACAAAAGTGGGGAACAAAAAATTCTGACCTACTAGTATTTCAAAGTAATGAAAATGGTTAAAGATTTTTCAAAAGTAAGTCAAAGGTCAAGGTCATTCAAGGGTAAGAACTGTTAAAGTCAAGGGAAGTTCTTAATTGTCACAAGGAATACACCCATACACACGTAATTCATTTCCCTGTTCTAGATTTGCATGCAAGTCATACCAAAAACACATGTTATGCAAGTCTATAGATCTGACATCATATGATCATTATTATTAAATATATAGACTTGCGTCACATTATATACATTTCAAGTAAAAAATGTAGGAATTGTCACAAACCAGTCAATTTTACAAGATGCATGAAGGGGGCCCGACACAGCTAGTCCTATGATTACTCCCAAAACAGCTACAAACAGAACACCGGAGATTCCCATAGCTAACTTAAAGTACCACGGCCTTCTTGTCCAACAGGAGCAACAAATAGATCTAGGACGGCGACCTTCCAAGTATTTATATCCAGGCTTATCTGACTGTCCACGCGACATGAGATAAGGCTCTTGTATAAAGTGAGCTGCGTTCAAAGTTTGATAGTTTCTTTCCGAGCGCTCCTGTCACGAGAATCTACTTTCACTTTCAAAGTTCTGTCTCGTGAAAGTTCGATCAAATAGATGGTAAAAGTCAGAGACACCCCGAAATCGTTAAAGTTGGTTACACAACAAAAAACATGTGACTTGTGGGGGTCCTTGTGGGTTGAAGATATATTTCTGTTACAATTTAAAACAAAAATAATGTTTATATGTGAACAGAGAAACACTTTCTAAACCAAAATGCTAAATTCGTAAAAAGAAGGACAGATACCCAAACACTAACGTCTAAGGAATTAAAAAATATAAACTTTAATATTCCGGCAAAGTGTTATCGAAAAGGCTTTTTACTTTACTCTAAGTTTATGTTTTAATTATTTAAGTCGGATCATGTGAGAAAATTTCTTTCACAAAGAAACATGAAGAGACTGTATTTTCTCTTTACACTTGTATTTTTTATTGCCTCGACCGTAGACTGTCAGAAATATAAACCAACATGGGAGAGCATTGATTCTCGGCCAATTCCAGCCTGGTACGACGATGTGAAAATCGGGATGTTCATAAACTGGGGGGTGTACTCGGTTCCCTCTTGTACCAGTGAGTGGTTCTGGTGGTATTGGAAGGGCCAGCCGCACGCGGACGTGGTAGAGTACATGAAGAAATTTTATCCACCCAACTGGACGTATGCAGACTTCGCTAAAGAATTCCGAGCTGAATTTTATGATGCTAAAAAGTGGAAGGAAATCATTGTTGCCTCTGGTGTAAAGTGAGATTATCTGTTTTTTGTAAAGTTTGCATTTTGTCATTCTAATTATGTATTGCACATTTTACTATAGAGATTAATTAGGATGCGAACCATGGACAGCTGATTCTTCAGTCAAGTGTTCTTAAAACAAATGAGTGCTCCAACTACCAGTGCAAACCAGTCTGCATGACTGCGCCACATTCCAATCCTGGCATCGTTTCAAGCCACGTCGGTTCGGAGTCCACTCATCATGCTTATATAGCTCTCTCTAACCTGTGGCTGCTTGCATGATCACATAAATTGTCATAATCTTGAATAATATTTACACCTTTTTTCTGTGACATCATGTTCAGCCAATGCCAATTAATATTTGTTTCCATCACAATTGAAATCAACAAGTAACATCATCAGTTAACAAGAATATTTTGTAAACTGCGATTAGGTATTTAACAGTCAGGGGCAGTTATAAAAAAAAAATAACTTAAATAAATTATTTTACATCAAATTGACACACACAAATTTTTTTTTAAAATAACTTAAATAAGTTATTTTTATATCCTACTTGGACATTGATTTCTTGGAAATTTTGTGTTTCCTGCCAATTTGGATTGCATTTTGGGATTCCATTATGTAATACTAGAGTTCACCGACTCCAATGGAGAATTGGTGAGGAGGTGGAGATAAACAGCATTTTACTCCTTATTTTGTGGTTTTATCCACTTGGTGTATATGTCCAATTTTTATCATTAAATAAAAAAAATTCCCCACTTTTCCCAAGACTTTGAACACTTTTCCTGCATTGAGCAAGGTTTAAATTTAGTCAAACATTTGTTTTTGTCTTGGTGCACGAGCAAAATCCTTTGGTGCACGGGGTGTGAAGTTAGGGAGGAATGACACAAAATAACTTAAATAAGTTATTTATTTATTGAAGCTATTTTGGAAAAATAACGTGTTTGAGTTATTAAGGTTGGGAAAAAGTAGGTCATAGCAAAGAGAAGTAACTCATTGAGCCAAATAATAACTCATTTGAGTTATTTTTGAAAATAACTTGTTTAAGTTATGCCCCTGACTGTTGAAATGTCACATTAAAATTCATTTTCCGACTATGCTTTACTCTCATTGGTGAGGTCAATACAGTGTATTTTTATGAGCTATGGAATATTCTCTTCTCATTATGATTCAACCACGGCCAGAATGGGAGAGGATCGTACATTTTGGCCATGGTTTGTGACGATGCATTCCTGGCTTTTAAGAGTCTTTTTGGCCTTTATCTTTGCAAGATTCCTTGAGACTAAAAATTTTGGTCACTGGCATGGGGTCTCGGAAGAGAAACCAATCCAAAATTTTTAGTCTTGACGAATGCCAAAGACATCAACCCAGGCTCTTTTAACTGTCGCTTCCAGGGAATGGAACAAATTACAACAAGGACCTATTTATAAACAGTGTTTTTAGTATATTAAGGTGCCTGATAGCACAAAATATAACAAGAGAGAAGAAAAATGAAATGGACTAGAGATCATCAGATCTTAGCCCCTTGAATCTTCAGTCAGGTGTTCTACCAACTGATCGAGCTATTTCCAGGCTAGCAGCAATCAAATCTGTCCAACAGCCATGCACACCTATAAATAAAGGAAAAACCCCAGTCACTCAGTGGTCATCTTTAATATGTACAATATCTGAGACTCTAATTGTTTTCTTGAAAGCGATGAATGCAGATAACATTTTGCCCATTCCGCTTCTATTAAGGAATAAAATTTGACTGTGCCTCAGTTGACAATGGTTTTCTTGGGGTGAAACTTTTCAATGTTACACTCAACTACATGCTATATTTATTATACTATACTGAATACATATAAAAGTGAACCGTACGTGCATAAATTCTGCGCAGTCGCTATTTTTCGGAATACCACCCGTCATCAAGCAATGTTGACTGCTGCTACACTGGAGGGCGTGGCTTCATTATTCAGTGGGTAATAGTGTTTTTTAGCAAATGTTTCTTGACCAATCAGATTCAACTAATTTACATGAAAGTATAATTTTAAAAAATAATATTGATCACCAGTGAACATGTAATTACTTCTCATTCTCTTACCTTCCATGTGAAGCTTGGGTAGTGTGCTCTCTGGTTAGACATGTTAGAGAATGGTAGCTTAAAATTCTGAGACTCATAGCGCAAGTGGTCAAACATTGATTCTTTTGTGGACTGCTCAGTATTGAAGAATCTCCCATGCAGAGATGTCATGTGTTCCTTGCTCCAACACCAGCTGCTAACTGTAATATCATGACAGGATTTTTAGCTCGCCTGAGCAGAAGGCTCAAGTGAGCTTTTCGGATCAAAATTAATTGGTTGGTTGTTGATGTTGTTGTTGTTGTCATATAGGCATTGTTGTAGTAAACTTCTTCTCCTAAACTATATGGCTGATTTCAACCAAACTTGGGACATAGTATCTTTGGAAGAAGGAATTCAAGTTTTTTTTAAATTCATGGCAACATTCCTGTACTGGAGGAGAAAATTAAGAATTTGTTATAAAAAAAATGGTGGCATCTTTTGAAAATCTTCTCAAACACCACTAGGCCAGGAAAGTAAAACTTACGTGAGAACTTCATTACATATGGTAGATGCAATTTTTGTTAATATTATGACCCCTGGATATAGGATGGGGTCACAACAAGGCGAAATGAGTCAGTAATTAATTAATTAAGTTTTTAATTCATTACAATTTTGTATGTATACATACATGAAAAATCTTAAAATTAAGTGAATCAAGTATATGAACAGTATTTTCCTTCATTACATAAGGAGAGTATTGATCAAGTTGTGTCTTTTTTTTTTTTAGATATGTTGCTCTAGCATCCAAACATTGTGATGGGTTTAGCATGTACCCTACTAATGTGACGTACCAGTGGAACTCAAGAGATGTTGGGCCAAAGCAGGATCTTGTAGGTAAGTGGTTTTATACGTACAATGTTCTTTAAAGCATGCTCTAGTGTTCTAAACTTCTTTAATGCATGCAGGATTTTCAGAAAAAAGATGTGTTCATGCCTGTAAGTATAAAGACTTAAAAGCAAGGCATGGAGACTAGTCTAATACTATAGATTTCTGTGATTCAATTAAATCTCCTTTTAGGTCCCTTAAAAGATGCATTAAAGGGAACAGGGATAAAGTTTGGGATCTATCATGCTATGATTGAGTGGTTTAATCCAATATGGTTGGCAGACCAAAAGAATAACTTTACAACTCAAAGATATGTCAAAGTAAGTACTATTAATGTATTATTTTGTGCAATGATTTTATAGGAACTTAATTTTTACTTTTTTTTTTTGAAGGGATAATGTGATATCAAATACAGATGAACTTTGGTATCTTTAACACTGATATCTTGAACACCACAGATATGTCAAAGTGATCTGAAAGTCCCATACAATTTTTCTTTGATTTGATTTCATGGTTGGAAAAATGTTTAGTAGTAAATGCATATGAAATTTTGGTGGGCATAAATTCGTTGGACTCTCCATACCTCAAAAACAAAAAAAAATTAACCCCTCACGAAAACTTTTTTTACAGTACATTAGATTAAGAAAAAATGTATATGACTTATTGTATTGTATTGTATTGTATGTAGGAATATATCCATCCTCAATTGAAAGAGATCATCAACACCTATAAACCAGATCTTCTGTGGAATGATGCCTGTTGGCTGGCCCCGAGCTGGTACTGGAACTCTACCATATTCCTGGCCTGGTTGTTCAATGAAAGGTAGTGGTTAATTTGTTCAATATCTCATTCTTATCTCAGCAAGGTTCGTAGAATGAGACTTTAATCTCAGCGAGATACATAGACTGAGACTAAAACTTTCTCCATGCAGAGAGACATCAGACCAAAATTTTAAGTCGCTATTTATCTCACTGAGATTATATCATGTTCATGCTATATCTTTGTCAATCTGTAAAAGAGCTAGTGGCCAAAAAAGAGACCTGGTGAAATATGAGAATCAATGAGAAGGACTGGTTGTTGTACAGTGTACTATTGTGCTGTCTTGTACAGTGTACTATTGTGCTGTCTTGTACAGTATACTGTTGTGCTGTCATGTACAATGTACTATTGTGCTGTCTTGTACAGAGAGAAGACATTCAAAATCAATGTAACCAGACTCATTATGATAGTTTAAAAACTGGCCATTGTCAGCTATATTCAGAAAAAAACCATGTAAAAAGGTTCTGATAATCAAAAAAAGTAATAAAGATGCGAAGTCTTTGTCTTGTTACATGTATACATGATAATTTTTTTATTCCTTTAAATTCAGTCCTGTCAAAGACGACATTGTGGTAAACGATCGCTGGGGATACGACTGCTTCTGTAAACATGGTGGAGTCTGGACGTGCTCCGATCGATTTCATCCAGGTACCACATGAATTTGTCTCAATTCAGTGAATACAGTAAAACACAGTTATAGTGTATGTGCTTATTATGAATTAATGCTTACAGCAAAGTGATTTTCATTCCTTGTGACTTTAAAATGTATTCTAATCTTAAGGGATATAAAGAATTAAGCTTATTATGCAGCAAAATCATTCGTCCTTGGCACTTTGTTAAAAATGTGTTTAACTGTATTAGGCAATTGCAACTTATTATCATGGCAATATTCCCGGATCATTAAATGTATTTTTAGGCCATGTGATGCCTCATAAATGGGTTAATGCCATGACAATTGACAGATATTCATGGGGCTTCAGAAGGAATGCTGACCTGGATCAGTATTACTCTATTGAGGAACTCTTAGAGGAAGTGATTTACACCATAAGGTAATTATATAAGCATCTTCGCAAGACAGGGGTCTAGAATCAACATGTTGATGTTGGACCCCCGGCATATTTCATTCAATATTCCTGGGCTTACTGTAGCCATATCTTGCAGAAAAATTACAAATCTTATCTCTTAACCAATCAAACGAAGCCACATCCATTTGAGGTATCAAGTGAATCCTTTATATCTAACTGTTTATGAAAGCTTTAAATTGTTGGGTGCTTTTCAATGAGAGATTCAAGCTCACGAATATTGAATGAAATATGTCAGTGGTACAATGACAATGTGTTGACTCAGGACCCCTGGCATCGCAAGTTGGCTACGGTAAGGTGATTTATGCAATAATTAAAAGAGTTTGAAAGCCAGACTACTTTGACCTGATTCAGACATAATGATAAGGAAATTCAGAATTTAAAGTTGCCATTTAATTCATTTCTATAAACTACTGTAGATCACTAAATTTTCGCGATACCTTATCTTTGCGAGATAGGCATTGATTCTTGATAAGCAAGAAAAAATTTTCACAAATTGTGGTTATTGCTCTATATAATCCTAAGGAATACTATTATACGCGAGAATTAAATTTTCGCGAGCACACTGTCTTGCATAATTACGCGAAAATAAAGTTCTCGTGAATAAAAAGTGATTTACAGTATTAGCTTTTCATTGGTGTTCAAAATATGGAACTGATTAATTTCTCAGTTTTGGAGGGAACATTCTAATCAATGTTGGACCGACAGCTTGGGGAACCTTTTCCCCGATCTACGAGGAGAGATTCCGGCAGCTGGGGTCATGGTTGAAGGTCAATGGAGAAGCTATTTATAAAACAACCCCCTGGATTCATCAAAATGACACAGAGTCAAACCGAGTATGGTAAGCTTTCTAAAAAATTTCTTCAGGCCAAATACTGTTAACTTACAATAGTGTGACATGCATATGTACATGTAAAACTAGAGAGAAAGAAAATGACGCATTCAAATGTATCTATTAATATGAATAAATTGTTGCATTTTATATTAGATTAATTACCAATTTAACAGATCAAGTTTTCTCCTCTTTTTAAACCCATGGCAAGATTGAAAATAATAGTAAAAATAATAACATATCATTTCCTGTTATTAAAGCATGTTTTGAAAGTTTTCAGTAGTATTTGTACAATATGCCCTGAAAACAAAACATTTGTACATTAGGAAAATCAAGGTCATGGAATTAAGTTCGAGGTCAGTAACAATGAGGTGACAGAGTTTTGCCCCTTTATCAGAACAAAAAAAGCAAAGACTATTACCGACAGTACTTTCAAGGCCACGAAGGGTCATTTGGAATCATAAAAAAAAAATTTTACTTTTATATAATTTTATATGTCAGAGAGAGAGAGAGAGAGATGTAAAGGTACTAATGTTGTCAAATGGACCTGTATGTACTTTTTTTTTAAGGATTTGTAGCTTATAGCTGTAATGTGATTTCCAATTTTTAAAGGTACACAGCCTCAAAGGCCAACAAGAAGGTGATTTACTGTTTGGTTCTGGATTGGCCGTTGAGTAATGAGATCTTATTGGGGTCACTGAAGGATATCCCAGTCACTGGGGTCACACTGCTGGGGTCAGATGCCACGATGTACTTCTTTGAGGAGGCTCATGGACTGCGAGTTTTATTCCCAGTCATCAATATACGCAAGATGCCTTGTCAATGGGCCTGGGCTTTGAGAATCTATCTTAAATAGGGATTGATATGAAACTTGGTGGGAAGAAATTCAGTTTATAATGGTCCGAGAACCTGACATTTTCTGGGCTTTTTTTATGAATTTGATATTTTACGTGCCAGAGAAACACGTAAAATATCAAAATCGTGAAAAAATCATGGAAAACATCAGATAATTGGACTTATGTTATAAATGAAATTTTCTCCATTTTACTGCAAAATATTTTGTGTGAAAAAAAATTAAACATACATTGTATACCGGTATTTGTTGTGAAGAAATGGTAACACTTCAATATTTGGGTCTGTATATTATACTGAGCAAATTTTTTATTTTTTTTTTATAATGTAACCCAGGGTCTTGTTACTTGTTGTGTATTCAAAACTCATTTTAATAAGATACATGTACTATAATGGACAAAATGGTGTAAATATTTATATGTTTGTGGCACTATATAAGCTTTTTTCATTAATAATATTTACATAATCTAATCATATATTTCCATATTTTGTGTATTCAAAACCTTTTATGGTCATGAATTAACTAATTTATATGATATGGCACATACTATAAGTTTGCAACAAAAATAAAAGATCATACATATAAAAGTGATAGCACGATGAATCGGTCCTGGGATAATTTAGACACACAGTAGAAGCAAATTCACATTGCTCCATCGTAAGCCATTATATGTGCACACTGCACCATCACTTCATTATCCCAATTTACTATACGCCAGTGCTTAAAAAATTATTTTCTGTATTTAATACATAATATTCATGAGATTTACAGATTGCATAGCATAATGCCCTTTTACTGTTGATTAAAGATGAGTCATATTGTACAAACTTTACTGTCAAATCTCATGCTATCACGTGTACATTATTCTATAAGAATGTGCATTTTTAAAAAGTCCCAATATTATTTGTTCTGGCATCATTTTAATGCAATAACTACTTTTAGAAATTGATACTTATATGTACATGAACCGGTATTTTTGTTTTACATATCAAAACATTTTAACCCTTTGAAAATAATTTAAGATTGTTTACAAGTTTATTTCTTTAGTTCTAGCTGTTTTTTTTTCTTTAGTGAATTAAGCTGCTGTTGTAGTTTTTTTGTCCTCTTTGTATACTTGATTTAAACAATTGTTAAAGATTCTGTAATTAATATATTACATTTATCTAAAATAAATCTTACTTCTTAATTAAGAGAAATAAGATGAAGACACTATATTAAAATTTGAAAATCAATGAGCTTTAGAGGGTAATGCTATTTAAATTTTACTCAATACATTTTCCATATGAATATAATGCAATAAATTTAATATGTTCAGTGTTCTTTCATTTTAGATATTATGTATACATAAATACCTTGAAATATCAATATAGGTCATAGCATTTTGTATTTATTTTTCAAAGTTGTTTACCAGAGCATGGGTAGATGAAATCTCCTAGTTTAAGCATAATTAAAACTTATTTATTTTTTTTATACCTTGATCTGTACAAATCCATGAAGAAATCCATTCCTTTATTTGTATACAAATGGACACAATTTATAATTGCATACATGTAATTATATGTTAAATGAGATAATATTTGCATGAAGATTTTCCCCCAACTTTTGCAGTGTGTTCATGTAACTACCGGTATATAGAGTTTTATGAATTTTATCTTCATGCCAACACATTTTATTTCAATCAGTCTAATTCTAATATTTATATAATTACAACAAACCCAATGTAATTTTAAACTTCCAAGAAAAAAAAATGTAGCATGGAAATAATTCTAACAACATCTCTGCAAATATGTATATATATTGTGGGATTTTTTGTACTAAGTTGAATCATTAACACTGGTAAATTTAATATATACCGGCATAAAAAAATTATAAGACATAAATGTACAGGCTATATTATTTTAAGGTAAAAGGTCAAGTTTATCTTACATGTGAATTATAAGAAATATTTACTTTGAATCACTACATGCATATAGATAAAACCAAGATGTTTTTGTATCATGTTTTATATACTTTTTTAAGCAAGATACATGGCAAAGTATTAATATATTTGCATAATATTCACAACATTCCTTCATTTTCATGATGATTATTCCAGTGTCATAAAAATGTTCAAGTGTGATAAAGTAGAGCTATTTTAACAAAGATCTTCTTTTTTTTAATTTTACATAAATCTTTTTATTATCATGTCTATATATTGTGGTGGATCTGTTAACAATATGGAAATACCATAAATTTATTAATATTTACAACAATGTATTTAATTTTCTACTTTTGTGAACTGGTTTTGCTTATAAATAAATACATGTATTTTGAAATTTACCACTTCTTATTTACTTTACACAAACTCTGAACTAATGTTTTTTAACTCTTTAGTATTTTTTTTTTTTTACAGCTCAAAAGCGAAAAAAAAAAAAAAATAAACTTGCCAAAAGTTTGCAAAATGCAAAGTACCTATTTGGATGATAAGAGGTGGGGTCACTTTCCAGTGTTAAAATCTTCATCAGATTCATGACTCTTCTAAGTCAAACACGAAGGCTCTGTATTTCTAGTGAAGGATATGGGTTATATCTTCCAAGATCATCTTTCCTTTGCATCAATTTTGAACTTATGAAAATCGGTTCCCTCCAGATTCATGCATGAAACAGTATTGACAAAATTAATTATCTTAATGACAAAGAATTTGATTAAAATAAGGATTGCTACATGTAAGTGAATAAAGTATTCAAGCTGTTGTGACTTGTACTCGATAAGTACAGTTTTTAGCTCACCTGAGCTGAAAGCTCAAGTTAGCTTTTCTGATTAGGCTATGAAAAATTAATTTCTTGGTTCTCAGGCCCTACTTCTTCTCTTTTATTGCCAAATAAAATAAAAACAAATAACCTCCCTCATCATTTTCGAGGTTTTGTACAATTTAAAAAGCTGCCTCATCATGTTTTAGGTGCAATTAAAAAGTAAAAGAAAAATGCCTCCCTCCCTCAACATATCCTGAGAACCTAGGAATTAACTTTGCATGGCCTTACATTTTGTCTGTTGTCCATCTGTCTGTAAACTTTTCACATATTTTGATTTCTTCTCCTGAATCTTGGGCCAATTTATACCAAACTTGGCACAGACTATTCTTGGGTAAAGAGAATTCAAGTTCATTCAAATAAAGGGTCACACCCTCTTCTAAGGGGAGATAATTACAAATTAGTGAAAAATTGCTGGCAACATTTAACAAGAAGCCCAAGGGCCTTGAATCGCTCTTCTGATAACTTGTACAGTCTATCACTTCTATTTGAAGCCTCTAAGTCTGTGTATCCCAAGATGCAAGAACTGACAAAGTTTGATGATTCTTAGCCAGTTAGGACTGAAGATATTTCAGTATAGCTATAAAATACAACTAGTCCTAATTGTAACGGGAACCGTTACAGATGTTCCCCAAACGCTCCCCAACTCCCTTTTGGTGCCATATTCCCTGTAAGCTTCATTAAATAAGACAAAGTCTGTGCATTTTTTACTTTAACAGAAGGATACCAATTATATTCAAATTTTAGCATTGCAGGCGTGCGCATGTGAAAGCATGTGCGTTATGACCATATCATCTTGTTTACACTATCTATATATTTTAATATACTATATATTAAAGCATTCAGTCCAAAAGTATTAAGAATCACTCATCTAAGTGTATTTTTAATTTCACTCGTTTTAAATGCACGCACGTGCGTGCACGTGCATGATGTCCATACCTTCTTGTAGAAGTCCCTTATATTTATCTATGTTCTTAATCCCATCCTGTTTGGTTGAAAAACAAGGGAGTTATAGTCATTTCAAGTTTAAACCAATAAGATTTTAGCACACATGCATGCACGTGATTTCATGAATTTTTTTCTATATCGTATTGTTGGATATCCTAATGAATGACTATGTTTTAAATTTCAAAGCATTTCGTCAAAAAACAAAGGAGATATAGCCATTTAAAGTTTTAGCCAATCAGATTGCAGCACACGTGCATGCGCGTGATTTCTTGAATTTTTTTTGTATATCGTATTGCAGGATATCCTAATGTATGACCATGTTTTAAATTTCAAAGCATTTCGTTAGAAAACAAAGGAGATATAGTCATTTATAGTTTCAGCCAATCAGATTGCAGCACACGTGCATGCGCATGCTTTCTTGATAATTCTTATTTATCATGCTGTAGAACTTCATGATGTATGACTATGCTCAAAATTTCAAAGGATTTTGTCAAAAAACAAGAAAGATATTGAGACTTCAGTTTCAGCCAATCAGAGCAAAGCGCACGTGCATGCGCGTGAGATCTTGCTTTTTTGACCATGTCATCATGTCTATACTATTAATATATCCTCACATTGTGAGTTTCAAAGTATTTAATCAAAAAATAGAAAAATTATGGCTATACCTGTTATATTGGTAATTTCACGTGTTGCACGTGCGCGCTCTTTCAAGCACGTGCGCGCAAAATGACCTTGATTCCGCAAATCTACATAACATGTCTACTGACCCTAAAAAGGTTTTACCTACTTCGGATGAACAGTTTACAAGATTACTCCCGGACAAAAAAGTACCCAGGAAGAAGAAGAAAAATAACTAGAAAAGAAACTCGTTGCGAGCAACGAGAGGTCTTCCGTCCAATTCTGGAAAAAAAAACCCCGCAAAATCGAGCTGAAAAGTGATATAACTTTTTATGGAAACAAAGGGGATTGAACACGGGTCGCCAGCGCAAAAATCCAAAGCGCTGACTATTACGCTATTGAGACCACAGCTTTAAATATACATTTATATACTTCTGCAACAGTACATCTGTCGTAGAATAATGAAAGGCAGGTCACTATTCATAATTTTCCGTCAAACGATTCGAAGAAATCTTCGGGCCTTTTTCTTTGGAATGTTCCATTAAATAGGTGTGATCGTTTCAATGGAAATAAAAAAAGAATGTTCGTGTAGCTTAAATTTCTTTGTTAAGAAAGTATATTTAACGCATTTACACATTCCATATCGTATATAGAAAACTAGCACTAAATCAGAGAAACTGCTATAATTTTCAACTGATTTTTATTTTGCTGTTTATCCCTATAATGAAATATCCCGATTACTTAAACTTTCATGTACAGCTTGAATTGCTTCGCCGAAAAGCGTGTCGCCCTACGACGGTCAAGGAATCAGACACCATTTATGTTTAATAACTTGAATGAGATCATTGAGACAAGAATGATGATATAAACTCCATTAAATTATCTTTTTTAGATATGTTTTTCTTATTTCTGTCTTTTCTATTTGTTTAATTCAAGTGTGCATTAGGAAAACGGTGGTTACGTTTAATACTTACTATATATGTTTCTTAAAAACCATTACTTATAACTATGGTTTAAAATCTGTTATTTCGCAAAAAGTA